TCAGGCTATCGAGCGAGAGAACTCCCACTCCGATGGCCGCCACGAGGTCTCGCCTCTGCTCAACCCACGCCGGGCACTGTGCCAGCGTGTGGAGAGCCGTGTCCACGGTCTGGCCATCGCAGTGGTGGCACTCAGGCGTTGGCTCCTTGCGGATCAGACACAGGTGATCTCCGAAACATCCCTTCCCAGTGATCACCTGCGTCAATCGGTATGAGAGGGTCCCGTGACGCCTCTCGAACCAATCCTCCATAACGGGTCTTACCGCCGCAATGACGGCGTGCCCGGCGCTCGGTTGCCCGAGTCGTTCCCTCCACTCCCCTATGATGACCTGGCGGAGTTGGGATTTCCGGTCATCGATTTCTCGAATCTCGGGGGATCGACCCAACTCCTGCGCCTCCTTGCGCCACTGATACAGAGCCGCAAGGGCTCTCGCCTCCAGGTCCCACGGTGGAGTTCCGGCCAGGAGACTCGGCGCCTCAAAGGAGATCGTGCGGTACCCCCTTATGATCCTGATGGCCAGCATTCGCTGCGGCATTTCGTTTACCCCTGAGTACAATAGCGAAAATGGTTGAAGATAATAAACATTGCCCTTGTGATTTAAATAAAAATGTAAATTACAGTCATCGTAAAATGCCGCTCAACGCTCCAGTGATTATTGTAGCCATGAAATTATCTTTTTGCAAAACAATGTAAACAATTGTTAAGTCATTATACATAAATAGCGGCCTAGTATCTTAATGCAAGCTGAGTGTACCTGTAAGTAATTATACACAACTTGATTTGTAAAATCTGAATGTTTATATTTTAAGCACTATGTAAATGTGTATGACTGTTCATCATCATCAGCCTATCGCAGTCCACTGCTGGACATAGGCCTCTCCCATTGCAAGCCACTTAGATCGATTTTGGGCTTCTCGCATCCAGCTCCTGCCAGCCATCCTGTGCAAATCGTCACTCCACCTGGCCTGTGGGCGTCCTACACTACGTTTGCCGAGATGCGGTCTCCACTCAAGAACTCGTTTTCCCCAACGGTAAAACGAGTTCTTGAGTGAATGTAAACGTAAACGTTTTGTTTTCGGTATGACTGTTAGTTATCTTTATTTAAAAATAAAAATTAAATAAGTCAATTCAACTCTTAAATTATTTTAAATGTGGTGAAACAAAGTTTACGACTGAAAAGGAAATATCCAATTTATACAATTAAATAAAAAAACTCGCCATGAAATATTTAATAGACAATATAAACCACGCAAGCTCTAATTGATGACGTGAAGAAAACCCACAATTATAAAATTGTTTTTAATATTTATTTTGCACTCAATGCTACATTATAATTGCTTTACGAAAATAATTAATAAATACAAAAAAATACTTAACTTTATATAAACCACTTTAGGCTAAACACATTTTCTTTTATAAAGATTCCAAATACTTTAAATCTTTTGAAGAAACTCAAGTGGTAACACATAGGTATTAAAAAATAGAAAATCCTAGGCTGGGTGGTATTGTCGTTCACAATTTAAGCGTTCATTTAGTAATAACCGCTAGTATGCCCATGTAGACTAGTGGTCTACAAAAACGAAATCCTAAAGTGCCCGTGTAGACTAGCAGTCTACAAAAATAAAAACGGAAAGTGCCCGTGTAGACTAGTAGTCTACAAAAATAAAACCGTAAAGTGCCCGTGTAGACCGGTAGTCTACATGGCTCCTGCCACAGATTAATTAGTATTTGACAGTAATTGTATTGACATAATGCTCTTTAGTAATATTTTTTCTATAGTCTGATATATTATCTATGGTATTAATCTCAGTCGAGCATGCAAACACTAGTAAAAAAAAGAATTATACGTCATAAAACTTCTGTCATTTCATCTTACATAAATTATGCCGCGTGGCGACCGATAATGGTAAGGATTTAGAGGCCTGTAAATAAATAAATATGTATGGGAGAGTATATGGTTTTATTTCATAACATATTAACTACTATCTAAACAACATAATTAAACATTAAAAACCATAGGTCATCGCTTTCATTTTTGAACTATGAGCTTCGAAGTGCAACACGAGCTTAAAAAGACGTTATCTCAATTTCAACACAGTGTAACTCAACACCAGAGCCGTAATCTGTAAATAGAAAGATAACATTGTTTAGCTAATTTCATAGGCAACTAAATAAATATAACACTTGACACCCTTTCAATACAAACTTTAGTCACAAGAACCGATTAAGTGGAACACGGCGCGCGCGTCGATAACGCAAAAAACAGTGGGGCACTTTACGGGTGGTCGGTATTTGTGCCGGGGCAATCTAGACGGTCTCGCTCGCGAGTCGCGGGCACTCTGGACGCCGCGGGCGCCATGACAGGGGCATACGAGCGGATAACATATGTACCTCACACATCTCACAAACGGCCGTCTGATCCCAAAGGAGGTAGAGCCTATGCTATGGTAACCAGATTGCTGATAAACATACTTATATATTTTAAAATACATGCATATTACAGATTAATGAAAAAAATCATTTAATATAAAATAAATGTGTCAATCCGATTTAAACGTAAAAAAGTGTATTTTTAAAGCTACAGACTATAAAAAGTAAAGAAAAGCATTGATAAACGTACAAAAAAATACGTAAAAAGGAAAGGTGATGAGAAATAGGAACATCATTAGTCCTCAAAGCTAACGACTAGACTATAAAAAATAAGCAAGTCCTTTTGATGTCAGGGTGTGCGATTTTACAATAAAATTCCAAGCAAATTTCATGAATTAAGTATTAATAAATTTAAGTCCTTAGTAAAAAAAAAACTGTGTAAAAATGCTTACTACACGGTTACAGATTATTTAGATGACCAATTTGCTATGGATTGATGCTGCTCACTCCCACATTTGAAAGTGGTGAACATTTAAGTTTTTGTTTTAATTCGTATTTCGTTAGTTTACAAATTGTTTATTTTTTCGTTGAAATTTAATTGTATAGTAAGTATGTATATTTTTGTGTGTAAGTAGGTAAATGTGAGTATATTGTAGGCTTATAATGTTAATTCATATTTTATTAACTTTCTGGTGGTTTTGAGTATTTCCACGGCTTACTTAAGGGTGGTTGATCCTGGTTATATCGGTTAGGCTACACGATGACTGGGGTCGGTATGCAGACAGCATACGGACCCCAGTCATGGGTCAGTCACTGGGCGTATGGACGGGCCCACTCAAAACTATGGTTCTTTTTTTCAAAAGGCCAACCCAGACCCTATACTGCACTCGCATAGTTCTCTTTAACATTGTACATGGACTTAAAAAAGACACCTCCGCGGTTAGTTTCGGCGTTTCTTCTCAGAGCGAGTCTTAGGAATCTTGTAAAAATATCTGAAAAGATTTACTTGCAAAAAAAATATATCATTTTAACACCAGTAATATTAATATGAGTTTGCTATTGGAACTTTGCTATTGGAACGAAGTTCCTTATCGCGCGTTACACGCTCTGAGCGGATGGGAGCGAGACCGAAAAATGTGTAACAAGACTTTATTCAACACTTCAGTTGGCGCGTCGACGCTCACATCTTTTTTTGGAAAGAAGTTCCTTATCACGCGTTACACGCTCTGAGCGGTTGAGAGCGAGACCTAAAAATGTGTAACAAGCCTTTCTTCCGACACTTCGGGTAGCAAATGTCTACCAAAAAGCGAAAGCGAATTTTGATCGAAGTGGTATAAGGAAGCTCACGAGACGTGTCACCGCATGGTAAGCGGTAGGGCGGTTGGGAAGGCGGCAACTCGAGAGTCATAAGTGCTTTGCCGTCCTTTCAGTCCCACCCCCCCAGAATCAGAGGTAGTGGAACGATTTGGGCTCCGGTAATAAATAACGAATAAACTGCTTAATACTCCTACCAGCTTGGAATCTTAAATAAGCTGACTAACATCAACTTAACATTTCTGGAAATACAATAATATCAGCCCGAACATAATACAATGTAAAACCAAATGACAGATTTATTTAAGCTTATGATTGCCTATAACGCCTTTTGAATGCGTAATTTCATCTTCTTATAGCATTCCATAATGATCTACTTACAAGACTGGGTTCGTGAAGTACAAATAATGTTCCTTTTATAAATATTACTGATTAGGTGCATACATTTTATGTTTGTTTAAATTTTGAAAGCATAAAACGGTAGTAATTTTGAAATACTTGGATATTATAATAATATAGAACGCAGAACTGACAAAAATAATAGAACTGTAACTGACAGCGGATAGGTATCTTTTATTCATACGAACTTAACATCTATTCCAAAAAAATGGTACGAGTATTACCGCAATGGAATGTTTGGCGGTGAGTATATTTGTAAGTTTTTGCAATGATCCATAATGTTATGTACACTTTTGTAAGAACACAAAAAACCACATAATTAACAAAAGTACTACATACTACGAATATGAATTATTTGTTAAGAATAGAACATTTTCCAAGCAATTGTTTTCAAAACAAAAGAAATCAGTTTTAAGCTGCCAAGAATATGTGCATAAAAGTAAGTATTTAAAATAAGTTCAAGAGTAACTTTGTATTCTCATATATTTAATCGAGACTTAAAGCATTTGCGTTGTTAGTATACTCGACTGCATTTAATTAGTACAATTATATAAATATATAAACGATAAACGAGCGCTATGAAAGGGTAATAGGATTATTTTTAGTCAAAATAATATTAAATAAGCAACGTTTGATCTTTTGCGAATATTTATATTTCATAACCCAGTTTAATCTCAGCATATTATGTTAGTACAGATCGGCTAAAGAATGCATATAATGGCTACTATTTCATTGATTCTCTATTTCTTCAAATACCAAGAAAAGAAATATTCCCACAAAATTGGTTTAAAAGATTTCACCAATGTACTGATTTTTGGACTTACATGAGTTACCTTGTTTCAATGTTCTACAATATTTTTTAAAAGTATTCGCATTGTGTTTTCAATAAATAATGTTAAGAAGCTACAATTACTTACCGCCCTATCGGCTAAGTTCTTCACTCGACAGTGTAGGTAGGCTGGCTGTCCGACAGCCGCCGTGTAGTCCCGTTTAGTAGCATTATCGAAGTACGGCTGACCGACGCTTTCGGTTGTCAGTGTAGAATTCACATCGTAGGCCACCGTGGTCGAGCTGGTGTCGGCTGTCTCACCGCCACCACCTGCTGACAAACCTGAAAAAGAAACAACAATCAATAACATATAATACTAAAGGATCCCAGTATCATACGATCGAAATAAAATTTAAAAAGTCTCACAAAAACATATTTGTCGAAGTGTTGAAAAGAAATCAAAGTAAAAAAGATAAGCTGCTTTACATATGCCTTTTACAGTATGTCATTAAATTAATATCTTAATAGATATAAAATGAGTTATAAATATAGGTATGAGTAGGTTTAAAATGAGGGAACAAAGCGGCCGGCAGGTGTGCCGCGGGCTTATAAATAAATTGCATTTAAAGATGTCCTGGACCTGTAATATAGTCTTATCATAATAAGAGTATAATTAATAACTCCACACTGACACCACATTTATTAGTAGTATTTACATTGCACTTGTGCGAAGCCGGGGCGGATCGCTGGTTTTCTAATATTTGTTACCTCACAACTAATAGGCTATTATATAAAGCCTATTTAGGGCCCTTTGGGGATTCGATGTAAGTGCTTATGTATTCCAATTCTGACGCTTGGGTCACGCGTAAAGTAACGTTTTGATGATATCAAATTTGTTTTGAACGTTTATATTTCTATCTAGGTATCTTTTCTGTATTTTATCAATATCTACTACTTCTAATTTACAATATTACAAAATAATATGTTGGAAGGCCAGTTATCAGTAATTTATATTAAAATAACATAAATAGAACGTAATATAAATTTAAATATACACAATATGAAGGTTAAAATGCACTGAAAAATAACTCAACAATCTCTCTAAACAAGTACATTAGTAAACAGTGTCGTCCAACAAAAAGCTTAAAGTAACATCTGCTATTTCGGCGCGGTACTGTAAGATAGTTAATTTCACTTTATCCTCGCAAGATCCATGGGGTACAATTTAAAGAGAAGTTCATTTACATAAAACGTAGTTTTTATACTAAGAGATGCTACTATCTGTAGGTTTATAAAATTTCAGGACCCTTTATGCGACATTGGATAAAAATGTTTGTGGTCGTTCTATGAATAATAGATTACAATTTGTTTTATTTATAACGCGTAGAAAGATTAATGATTGAAAATAACAAAATACGCTGAGTTTGAGAAATTTAACATGATTATTAAGGTTAGTAAAATTGGGTCAATGGAAGATATAATTTATTAAAATGAATTGATGAACGACGTGCTAAATATAAGGTCGGAAGAATATAAATTAACTTGCTAGCTTATTTCCTGCTGCCAATAATATCGCAGTTATCTAGTTTTTTTTCTACATTTTATGTTTCTTATTCATGGGCCGTAATAAAAATAAAATAGGTTAAAAGTTTAAGTCAAACGTTCTTATTGATTAGAAAGACAAAGCTTATGTAGATTATATACTAAAAGATGAAAAATAACTAGGTAGGTCTTAGACACCAATCATCACAGCACTCTCCTCATCAATCTACGCCTTAATCGTGGTGCGTAGCATAACCTGAGTGTAAATAGCGTTTACATGATATGAGTGATAGACTGTTGATATAAATTTAGAGTAGTAGAGTAGTATTTGTAGGTAGATTGATAATCGACTATTACATCTTGGGTTTGACGTAACAAAGACCAAAAAAAATTTGTAACGTAGCCGATAGCGCAATTTAAAACTCCCTTAATCATCATCATCATCATTATCATCAACAGCCTTTAACAGTCTACTGCTGGACATAAGCCTCTCCTTAGAAAGGAGGTTTTTTTTTACAAATCCCTTCAATACGTTCATATTCGACCATTACATGAGTTTTGGTCTGAGGGCAAACCTCCAGTCTTCTTTTTGCTTGTGGGTATCTATACTATATACTAGCTACGAGCAGATTCAAATTATCTGTATGTCGTGTGGTGTCAGTGTGTTGCCAGAGACGTTGTCATTCACAATGGGCCTCATAAGAAGGCTCAAAGTCACCCACAGAGCAATGGAGAGCAAAAAGTTTAGAGTTTCTTGCGTGACTGAGCAAATCAGGGATGAGGAAATCCGCAAACAAACCAAGGTCACTGACAGTTTCCGGAAAATTGCCAAACTTGAGTGGTAGTGGGCAGTACACATCGCTCGCAGGAAAGATGGTGGCCAAAGAGTTTTCGAGTGGTGGATGTGCACTGGAAGACGGAGCGTAGCTAGCGCCCCTAAGTGGTCCAACGACCAGATGAAGGTCGTGGAAAGCGGATGCGGGCAGGACAGGACCGGTTGCTGTGGCGAACCTTGGGGGTGGCCATTTCAAGCAGTGGTCGTTTTGGCTGAGATAATGATGATGATGTTGAAATTTTCCAATTTTTCTGTTACCAGAACGTATCTTCAGGTATTACCAGGCTTGAATATCTTGAAATCTATAAGCTGTACTGTGTGACAATAGGGTGATTGAGCTCCACCACTGCGATGGCCGGACCGTGGACATGGCGTTAAGCAGAGGCGTTGCCGTCTCCTTCTGCAAGCAAGTTATGCTTGCCAAGGATATGGCTTAGCGGGACCGGGAGAGGTTTTGAACTCTCCCGGTGCCCCAGACCCGGCCACGGGCCATGTACCGCAGAGTACTCAGGCGCTGGAGGTCGCAGAATGACCTCCGTCCTCCATAAGCGCAGGCCTAGGGGTGGTAGTCACCCGAGAAAGCGTGCGGAATTTCGGTCGGTTCGAGTCCGATATAACCACCGGTGGGTGGAATCCAAGGGCAGGCCACCCCGCGAACTATCGCGGCTGTCCTCGCGCACCTAAGCTCCCAAAGGCGAAAGGCCCTCAAACGAATTTTGTATATGTATCACGTTAGACAGATTTGTTAATTATGATATCCCGAAATCAAATAATTTAATAAGTTTAAAGTATAATGGCGAGGCCTTATTCCTATGTAATGTTAAAACATTTATGAAATTATATTAATTTTGGCCAAATTTGCTTTAAAGTTTTAACGTTAGTGTCGAGACATATGCAAAATCACGCAAATATGACAGCATGCAGGAAAATCGCGAAAGTTAGTAATTTCAACTTTGAATTTGCATGCTTAAACGGACTAATATGTTTACTAGAGGGATTCTCCTAATCTGTAGTCACATCTCGGTAAAGTTTGCTCAATGATGTTAATTTATATGACTCATATTTTGTAAGTGCACCATTATTATTGGATGAACTACTTTGTGAGCAGAAATGGGGTTGTCATATATTTATAGTTGCGCAATAACCTGTGGTGAAGTGTTGAAGTATCTCAAAATGCGTGTCTTGTCAAAACTCTTAGGTGTTTGTGGAGTTCAGAAGGTCTTTTTAATTTAATTTCAAAGTTATTCAAGCCCCTGTATAACGTTGACATATCTGCAGATGGTGCTAGCCCAAGCCTCGACTTCAATGTCTTAGTGACTTTCTCGTCCAGTTTTCTTAAGTGGTGCTGGTTTATCTCGTATACCAGAAACGGCCAGTTGAGACTTGATATTAAGTAGTTAATCCACGGATTTTTAACGTTACTTATTGGCTGTTGGTCTTTTACGAAGTCATCGACTATTGCGTACATAGATGGAGTACGACCTTTGTAGTCTATTTGTCTTCCAAGAAATTTAAAGGGCACGGTTTTTGATATTATTGAAACCCTTTCCCTATTAATAATAATTCCGGGGTCACATAAGGTATATCTGGTACCTTGCCGACCCAGACAAAGGCATTAGAATTTGCTATATTTTGTCCCCATTCCCTCCGTCCAGGAACAGAAGAAACTTTACGCAGTAGTTCTTGGTATTGGTTCGAGTTACATGTGAGGATCACGAGGTCGTCGCCAAATGCTAAGATCGATGCCGTATATTTTAAATTGACCTTAAACCGGTAGCCTCACCTATTTTCGTGTGTTGTGATATTTTCTATTAATATATTTATAACTGTATTAAATAATACTGGTGATAAACAGCAACCTTGGAACAACCCTACTCTGTATTCGAGAAGTTTTGTATGTCCCTCTTTTGCTGTGATTACTAATCTTAATTTACCATAGTAATACACTTTATAAAAAGTTTGTAAAATTAATTTTTAATCTACTTTTTATAGTTATATATGATTAATCCTAGGCAAATGATTTTTTTTGATCAGACACATACAGTGTGTGATTCCGATCAAAAAAAAGTACAATACACACACATACATATACGTATAAATGTTGGTCTAGACTGATTGTCAGCTACCCGGTGGTCGTCTGATTCCCACCCAGGACAAATGTTTTGTAATATGTATTTAAAATAAAATATATCAGATGTTTATTTAGAAATGCATGTGCCTGGTTGACGCTTGTCTTATATTATGTAAGTAGACTAAAATTATAGTCCGCAAAATGTGAGTGTCTAATATGCCCTTGGAAATATTTAGCTGTTCGGGGATATACAACTGAATGTCTAATGTGTGATGTAACTTTATATACAAAACTCTGTTTCAACAAAACTCCAAATTCTAATATCCATTATTATATTTACAGAGGATTCACAAAAGACTTTTCTATGCTTGATAAAATTAAATGATCGGGATATTTGTTGTATACATTCAAGTAAATAAAGACTCCTTATACAATTAATTTACAGTTTTCAATAGAATCATTAATAATATAACTGAACAACCTACTCGAATAATATCAGAAAAGTACGTCCTCTCGAGTCGAAAATAAATTATAATCCTCAGACACCACTCGAATGAAACTGTTTAAGAATGTAGGGTCTTTTTTTACTAAAATATATGCAAATAAAACAGAGCACTTATGCTGCTCACGATCAACTAAGCTTTCAAAAGGATCTCGATACGGTAACAGTACCCTTTGATAGTATGTACGACGTAACAAACATTGGTTCCTTGCTAGAATACACTAACAAATAATTCCCAAAGCTTTACTCAAGACTACTCGGTACAGACAAACAGATGATCTCGTCTTACTATCAAGGCTAAAAGCCTTTATTCTTAACTTCTCTGGGATTGTGGCCGACTTATTTGGTATGTTAAAGTGGGTGACTTGTATGTATGTAGCTTAAATCAAGGAAAGTCTTAAAGAGACATTAGCGCTGGATGTGAAAAAAGATTTCAGAAAAGACTACAGATCATACGTAAGTAGTCTACAAAAGTAAGGAAAAATTATCAAAAATTAAAAGAATGTTACTGAATTAAACACAGTGTGTCGTGAAGTACTATAATGACTACGTTAAAATATAATAAAAAAATCTTTTTATTATATTTTTCTCCTTCTTGGCTTAAAATAGCGTTTAAAAAAAGCGTTTGTCTATTTAAATATAAGTTTTTCAAACGATTTCTCAAAATAATTTCTAAATGTATTTAAATTCTTAAATAATAAATGTTGAAAAAAAGAAAAAGAAATACATAATCCTACTCTTATGTAAAGTCAGTGTCTTCGTGAAATATTATAAGTTCTGATAGTCTAGACATTTAGAAATATGGTAAACTAGCTTTACACTTTAGGCTTCATAGCGAGCAGTTCATATTTCATAAAATGGTACAAATTCCAAAAGCATGTTTCGGGCAGGATTTTATACAGACAATGATAGGACTTTTTTCATAATAGATACGTTGTTGTCGAACAAAATATATGAAATATTGCAAGTTCTAACTTTTCAAATACTGTGTACTGAACTGTGTACCAATTCTGCTGATCAATCAGTTTACTGAGAGATTGAAAAATATTAGATTTATGTTTTCATTGCTGTAAACATCAAACATGTTTGTATTGATAAAATAAATTTATACGAGTATAATACATACATATGGAGTTCAAATGGCCAAATCCATAATTAAATTCTTAAATTCAATTAGATGAATTGGCCTTCGAATAAAGTTTAAAATGATTTAAAAATTAAGTAAGTAATTAAGTTGGCTACATACCTATTAAGGTATGATGTGAATGTTTCCTTTTTTATATGCGATATACTTAATTAGTTATAATATATTTACAATAAAAACAAAAATACTTACACATACCAGCAAATAAAGATACATATTTGCTGGTATGTGTAAGTATTTGTATTTATGGATATAAATATGTATTGTGTATTATATATATGTGTATATTTATTATGTTATATATATCTAGTTATTATCTCTTTTATATTCGTTATCAATTAACCTAAAAAACTCATTTCACCGTCAACTACTACTGTCTCTCCGGAACATTTTGATCCATCCTAAGGTTGCCTGGAAGAGATAGCTCTTAGCAGTAAGGCCGCCCTTTGTAAATTATATGTCTGACACTTTTATGTACCATACTTCTTGTATAACGGTGTACAAATAAAGAGTTCTATCTATCTTTCGTCGTATCGTTCGTATCTACGTTAGTAACGTGTTTTTATACATATTAAACGCAAAACAAATAGGTAGTAGATTTTATTCAAGATTCGATTTAAGAAGAATAAATGAAGAGTTATTAAGATTAAGAAGAACGTCCATTGCATTTTTATAAAAGATGATTTTAATTTAAATGTAATCTAAATTTAAAATAATGTATTATTATTATTATTAATAATTACCTTATCTATCCAAGGGACGAGGATAGAAGTTTTGTCGCCTTGAATTATGGGGGAAAGCTGCGGCCTGTTAATTTTTCATGGCATAAGGAGCAAAAAAGCAGACCCATGGACACATGCAATTCAAGAGAAGTTCGAATTATTCCTCAATGCAATACGAGGCCAATTTCATGTTTGTAATTTTGAAATCCAGTTTGATTTTTTCTGATCCTATTTTTACCTCTGTATCGTAAAATATTTTTGCAATGTATTTTTGTTTGATAATATATTTGATAGGACAGGCTTGCCTAGTGTGGAGCCACAGGACATTTTTTTTTACAGAACTGATTTTTTACTTTATCTCTTGCTTTCTCTCTTCTACTCTGATGCATTGAAATGCTTTACAATCTAATATTTCCTTTAACAAACAAAATTTGCAAGGTTTTTAGTTAATGAAACTATACGGCAGATTAAGATTAGTCTCAAATCGATTTTGCAATAAAGGATATGATTTTACGATTTTAACGCTCAGAACTACGAACTACAAAAAAAACATAATAATCTTGTACATTATCTGATAATATAAAAGCTTTAATATAAACGTCAACATCATTTAATCGATGGACGGGACCCTCTTTTGATGCATAAATTAATTCCAATTTGGTTATGAAATAGCCTCTTAATTATAATAAGGGTTATTTTCCGTCCCAGCAAATAGTCTTCTGTCTAATTGGAGCTCACCAATCAATTTAATCGTTATTAAATTAAAGCGTAACTTTACGGAACGAAAGGCGTGGTTATGATAAGGTCAAAAGGATCGCTTGAAATGAATTTGTTTAAATATTAAGGGTCTCGTAACCAAGACAGGGCGTTATTAATGTTGAATCATCCAAAAGAGTTTTTATGTCATTATTAAAAGTAATGTCATCAGTAAAGTTGTTACACACAAAAAACATGACAGAAGAAATATAATGTAACACATGTATTATCACACACATATTGTCATGAAAAAAGAAGAGAAGCTATGAAAATATAACATTATAATGAAAGGTGTTATAAATAACATTTTTCGTTATAATGTTATATTTTGTTATAATGTTAAATATACAGACAAACACATAAATAAATATTTATGTAATATACATACAAAATGCAATAAATAAAATAATATCTAAGGTGACGAAATCATAACAATACTTACGCTATGAATATTGGAATGTTAGCATTTATTGAACTAGTTCTAAAAGATTTTGTCTGTAATTTGTTCTGCAGTGCAGGACGTTAAGAAGAAGACAAGGTATCCTAAGAGATCTGGGGGCTCGTGCCTCAATCTAGGAGAGAAGTTGTGGAGAAATCGACTTAAGATTGTGCTAATTTAAAAAATGAGCGTTTTTTTTATATGATTGAAATTTATCATTTAATAAAATTATGATTTGGAAAAAAATACTATCCTGTCAATGGTTCACATTTGCAACCTTGTCAAGAAGATCTAAAAATACGTAGTTATGGAATAAAATCTGACATACGAAACACCCATGTCATAACGATTGAACCTCACCAAATACGCTCCTTTGTAGAGAAAATAGTCTTTTGATTGAAATTGACAAGGGTTTTCATGAAATCCAAAATTGATCAAGCCTCTAATAAGTGATTCGAGTAGTCATAACCATAATTTGTTTAGGCCAAGCTCATGGGGAGTGGCGAGAAAAATGAAATTAATTACGTAAAGAAATGTTGCTAAGGTTTTGCTATAAAATAAAAAAGTATTTTTATAAATTTGCTTTAACGATCTAACTAGGGTTGATTATAAACCACGATAGTAATATAACAATCACAGCAGCTATGTTTAAGGTTATTTATTCATTCATTTTCTTGAAAAGACAGTCTTAAGTTAAAAAAACTTTCAAATCTAAATTGTCCTTATGACGTTCTAATAATCACGAATTGGAATTAATAAACTAAAGTGATAAAACACCGCATATATACTTAGTTTTTTATTTATTTACTAAATTGTAAATTATCAATTTTTGAAAACTTGAAACAAACTCTATACCGTCTAGCCAGCGATGTATAGTAGACTAAAACCTCCTTTCCATGGAGAGGCATATGTCCAGTAGTGGACTATTGATGAAATTTACAAAACACAACTATTATAAATAATTATGTTTTGTAAATGTGAGTATCACAGATTTATTTTTGTATATTCTTGCGAGGTATAGTGTAAATTGATGGATGTAATCTCTCTTATCATGTTTAAGACGTGTGCTCACGAGTTGGCGCTGTTTTGCCGTGCCTTTTTCGACTCTCCCACTCCCTAGTTATCGTCCCAAACTCCTAGAAGATGAATTTCTGACATCGTTCGTCAAGGCAAAATTTTGATATTTTGGAATTTGGCCATTACTTGGATAACACTGTGCGCTTTTATAGACACGTTTTGCCTCGCACAGTCTGTGGAACTATTTATTGTCTGCGGTATTCTCGGAACGATACGAACTTCAAACATTCAAGAAAAGAGTGTAAACCTTCCTCAAACCCCGGTAACGCTCTTGTGACTCCTGAATTGCAGGCGTTCTTGGGCGTCGGTAGTCGCTTTTCATCAGGTGACCAGTGTGCTCATTTGCCCCCTCTTCCATTAAAAAAAATGTAATTATGCTATATAAATATACAAGTATATATATTAATACACAAGATCATATATCATCATCATTTAGTTAAATCATTAACATTTTCTGAATGAATATTTATTGTAACTATTCGCTTGTATTCTTGTGTATGTACTATACTGCAGGACTATTTTTGGACCTGATTACACGCATCCTGGAAATTCATAATTAAAAAGATATATGTTAAATAAATAAGTAAGCAACACACTAATGTTTTTAATATCATAAATATAATCGTAATATAGTAAACAGCTTGACACCTTCCACAGACGGCTGTCTGATCTCAAAGACGCCAAATCCCAAGGCAGAGACGTTTACAACCAGACTAATGATACTTATATATTTATAAATATATACAAATCATAAAATACATTACACCCTTTTTTTCTGTGCGGAACTCCCCTCGGATACCACCCACCAGTGAGTGATTATGTCGGACTCGAACCGACCGTCTCTAGGTACCAGTAACTGGTGAACCAGGTAAACCTTAGAAAGGAAAGCCCTAGTACCCCGACGTACCTCGGGACATCTACGGCTTATAGATGACCCCTCCTGTGTGGTAAAGTGCCCGTGCCCGTTCTCGGGCCTGGCGAGCTGGGAGGGTTCTGAACCTCTCCCGGAAAATAAATTACACCCAGACACAAAATAAATAATTGTGTTCATCACACAACTATATATCCTGGTTGAGATTTTAACCCACGACGTTTATCTCAGCAGTCCGTATTACTAACCACTAGACTCTAGTGGTTAATAAAACAAACAGACATAAGTAGTCATTATTCAAAACATTTACATGGTAGGAGTATTTAAAAGAGAACAACATTAGCTATTGTATTGTTCTTTAACACAAACTATAGTTGGAATTTAAATACTTTAGGCTCTAGATAAGCTTTTTCTCGTATGTATAATAATCTTTCGCTTTCTTTGAAGTAAGAAGGTCAATTTGTTACTTCCACAAGGCGTGTTTATCGGACTGCCTGACATTGACCTCAAGCGAATAGTCCATGGATTGAATAGATTGTGGGCGGACTCACGTTTCACTTTCAGGCTTGGGCGTCCATCATTCCGACAGCTGCCAATATCACTAACCTTCTCGTTTTTCACAGCGAAAATTATAATACGATGGCTTCGTACCAATTTAGTTCGTAATGTAAAAACTTTATCAATCTGTCACACTTTATTCAATTTAAATAATCTCTGTTACCATATTTGCAGATTGAGTTGATATTAAAGATCTTGAAATATCAATTCTGACAAGTTGAGTTTTTAATAAATGTGAATGAGACTGAATAAATTTCATTCCAATGCTATCAAACGTTTATCAAGACATACATATATCAAAAACATTGTCTAATCTAAAAACGGATTAGCAACTACCGTGGTTTAAATTTGGCATTCATAGGCATTTTGATGCAACATCGTGTTTGTATTTTAAAGACGATGTTATGGAAATGGTCGCCATATCTGATTCATCTCTTAACATCTTGAGTTCCTCGTCTTAAACAAGGGTGTATCCATACTTGAAAATGTCATAAATATAGATATTAGCAACCTACATGATATGTGAACCAAGAAGCGACATAAATCTATTGATTTATTCCTAAGGCGTTACCCGTACATTCTCTTTTATACAGTTCAATATAATGTCAAGTAACTGTAGCGATGAAAATGTTTTCCTATATTAAAAGAATCCTGAAGAAGAAGGCTTTTATTTTAAACTCAATTTACATATGTATATGCGAAATCTCAGCACTTTCTACGCTATTTTTATTTTTATTTTACATTTATTCTACATGTCACCTACTAGTAGGAAA